ATAATTCTCCTTAATTTCGATGCCAAAAGCTCGGCATGACTCTGCCATTTTAAATTACTGTCAACAATGATTCCTAAGTATCTAATAACTTCAACTCTTTCGACAGTGTCAGCACTATCATTTATAATTAATGTTCGGTGGTGTAATGGCATGCCTGCTTTGGTTGGAGAAAACGTTACATACTTAGTTTTAGAGATATTAAGTTTAAGTAAATTGTTATCCAACCAGCATTTGACTTTATTTAATGACAACTCGGCATTCCGTATTGCGTCGTCCCATGAATGACCAGTGCAAACTAAAACAGTATCGTCTGCATATGATATCATCTTACAGTTGAAATTACATCGAAGTAGTTCATTTATGTATATGAGGAACAGTGTTGGTCCCAAAACTGTCCCCTGAGGCACACCTATTTTGATCTTTTGAATGTTGCTTAAATCTGACCCTACCTTAACTTGTTGTAATCGATCAGCCAAATAGTTCACAAATAAGTTCAGAACTCCGCTACGCACTCCAACACTTTCTAGTTTCTTTAGTAAAATTGTATGAGATACTGAATCGAACGCCTTTTGAAGATCTAGGAAAACTGCAACAGTCTTATTTCCATCTTGAAAATTTTCAAGCACTTGTCCTGTAAGTTCTTGTAGAGATTGCTCTGTATTGCAATTTTTGCGGAACCCAAATTGACAGTTCGATATTATGTCATATTTCTCAAAAAAGAACAAAGTCTGTTATTCAAAAACTTCTCAAAAATCTTCCCAAATACATTGATAACTGAAATAGGTCTATAATTGAACATATTGTCTTTACTTCCAGATTTAAATATTGGTGTCACTATGCTTTCTTTAAATTGGCGAGGAATTACTGAGGATTTGAAACAGAGGTTGATAATGTGAGTTATAGGGTGACTGATATACTTCATGATCATCTTGATAGTTTTAGTGTGTAAGCCATCTTTTCCGGGTGCGCTATTATTTTTCAGATTACAAACTATTTGTTGTAACTCTATGTTATCCACTGGAGTTAGAAACATAGAGTGAGCAATGTTGACGACATGAGGATCTGATGTATCAAGAATTGAGTTTTGATCAATCTGACTTGTTATTTGCTCACCTATATTTGCAGTACTTCTCAAATACGAATCCAAATTGTTTACAAAATCCTGTACATTTGTGGGATTAGGCCTATAGATACCAGTAATACTGAAACTGTTATTGTTGAAAATAAAGCTACAATTCAATGCCGTCACTACATCTATCATTTTTATGGAAACATTTACCGAAATGTCATCTCTTACATACATACAAACCCCATCGCATTTATTATACTTGGCTTCATTATAGTAAATTTGGAAGCCATTTATTTTATAACTGTCGATATTACTGATATTCCAGGTCTCACTCAAAACAATTATACCTATATTTTTATTCTTATTTAACACCGCTATGTTTATACAAAGCTCATCATAGTGAGCTTGCAAGCTCCTGATATTGTAATGAAGTATAGTGAAGTTTAACTTATCACTTCTCTCAAACAGAACACTATTTAATTCATCAAAATTAGAACAACTGATGGTCGTGATATTGTTATAATCCTCTAAAATATTCAAAGCTGTATCAATATCAGTCATATACAAATCAAGCTAAACTCAATATGAATGCAGAAAAAACTTAAACTGACTAAACTGCTACAACTAAACAATGGCTCAGTTATGCAACAAATTACAACTCGCAGAAAAGGAAGGAGAAAAAAAAGAAAAGAAAAAAGCACTAAACCAAAATGAAAAGCTCACGTCCACTCTGCAGCAACCTGAACAGTACATGGGATCATTACTGCTCCATGTTATTCAAGTCCTCTTCCGTTTTTATCTGTAACTTGTTTTCTCGCAGTTTCACCCATATTTCTCCGTTATAAAACCAGGTCTTCTGCTTACCCCATTTCTGCACCGCCTTTTGATACAGGTTATATCGAGCAGGCGACATATCTTCAGCAAGAGTTATTCCTGAACCTTTCAGCAACTTCCTGTTTCTCAGAAGCTTCATTTTCAGGTTATGAGAATTTACAGTAAACAAGACAGAACGCTGTTCGTTCTTCTTTCTTCCTAACCAAAAACAATTTTCAATATTCTCTTCCAAAACTCGAGTTTTTAGGTTATCTTCGCATAAGGTAAGCACCTGCTCCAGGACACTTGTACCATGTGATTCCTTCATGCCAACTATTCTAAAAGATTTCCGACGTGCATGTTGTTGAAATTTTTCCAAATCACACTCTAGCTTATTCTTAGCATGTCTCAGGTCCACTATTTGTTTTTCTAGCTCGACCATTTTTTGTTGAGATTCCTTTATACCCAGTTTCTGTTCGATTTTATCAGAAATAAGCGTTAAGAATTTATCATCACTGAGCAATCCTTCAATGGTTTGCTTTATAATTAATTTAACATCGGCCATTTGATCTCGTGTCAATGGCATATTGATTTAATGTCCACTAACCTTTCAGAGCAGAAGAACCAAATTATGTAATTCCACTTATTACTGGAGGTTTTTCAGATTTTCCGCAGAGCGACACACAGTACGTCTACTCTCTCACCATGTCTACTGTCGACTCGACTGTAGAATATTATAAACTTAAAAAAAGTTACTAAGTTTTATATTGTGTACCGTTCCTAATATTTCTAATCATTTTAATTCATACTTTAAGCTTTATAAAGTTATAATTTGTTAATATTAATATTTGCGCGTATTTCAGGTTCCTGATCATTCATTTTTTAAAGGTTTATAACTTTAAATTAAATTATGAAGCGCTGAGTAATCATACGACGTTCAATATTCTTTCTTTCAATATGACTAAATAATCCCAATTATAGCAATCTGATACTCATGTCTCAATGTTTTTTCGCTGAATGTGATGAAAACATTTGAAAAAGGTTCGTTTATTGAAATAAATCTACACCAGTTAGTACTTCGATTTCCAGGTAAAGGGAAAAGGCTCATTAGCTGCCATATTGGCAGTGAGGATGGATTTGTTGTTGACGGTCTGTGGTGCTTTGAGGCTAAGAAAACTGGAGATTACCACGAGGAAATGAATGGCGAATCGTTTGAACAGTAGTTTTCAAAAATTTTACCGAACTTAGAGGAAAACGCAGTAATTGTGTTGGATAATGCGCCTTATCATTCTCGAAGAATGGAGAAGGTCCCAACAACGGCTTCAAGGAAAGTTGATGTTCAAAATTGGCTCCGCTCGAAAAATATCAACTTTGAAGAAGCAATGCTGAAAGTACAATTATTAAGAATTGTCAAGGATCACAAGGCGGAATATCAAAAATACGCCATTGACGAAATGGCAGCAAGTCAAAATAAAACTGTGCTCCGTTTACCTCCATACCATTGCGAGCTCAATCCCATTGAGCTCATATGGGCAGAGGTTAAAAATTATATAGCTAAGCACAATACAACTTTTAAATTTTGTGACCTCAAAGGATTTTTCAAAGAAGCACTAGAATTAATAACAGCGCAAAAATGAGAAAACTGTATTAAGCACGTGAAAGACAAAGTTGAAAAGAGAATGTGGGAACTGGACAATATTTTAGAGGAACAAGTCGAGCCATTCATTATTGACATTGGTGCTTCAGGCAGTAGCGATGATGAAAGCTCATCAAGCTCATCTTTCCAATAAAAGATGTCGTTCATCAAATTCGGTAAGTTATAAGTAATTATAAAGCTACTGTATTTTTTAATTAATTATTGACATTTTTGAACCCATTTTGGCAAAACCTATTCAAGAATCTACTTTCTGACAATGTTCAACCATGCACATTTTTTTACGTTTTGAACGTTTTAATTTGGTTACATATTTACCTAGAAATCAAAAAATATACTAATCAATATTCTAAAAGAAATTTTAAGAGATATACGATTATTTTTAATTTAGGCTAATTTAAACGCCATTTTGAGATTATATGCGACTGTATTTCACCAAACATCAGGCGGCATCCGAAGCTGGAAATCGAAGCGAAAATTTTGAAACCCTTATGTATATTTACGTCATTATATATTTCTTACCCCACCCCCACATGATCCTATATCCATCACCAATCGTATACACATCGAATTGTGCTAATTTACTACAAAGTTACGCAAAGCAGCATCTACTATCTAAAATATGTACTGCGTGACTCTTAATACGTCCCTGCCGAATGTTACAGCGTTCGATGATCACGTGGTCTTGTTTATGTCCGGTCTATCTCTTATCTCAATATACTGTAGATTTCAACACATATCAATACGCGATATAACCAAAACTTTGCAGCTGCCTCTTGCACTATTAGTAATTTACACAAAAAATAGCAATCTGTGGTTTCGCGATTCGCTCAGAGATGGCTCAAACTTCTGCGTTTGGTTCATAAAATGCTTAAAAACGCTTCATTTATACTGAGCTGAATGAAGTTTAGATTTAGTTTAGATCATCTTAATGCCAGACTACAACTGACCACCATGTCAAATACACCGAAGACTGGTCAAAAAAACAATTTGAGGTTAAATAAACAATATTGCTTTCATGGTGATATCCATCTTCTCTTACCGAATTAAGTCGTGTAATATTCCGAGTTTACATAACTCGGAGAGCACTCTTGAGAAGTGTGATTTAGCTTTAAGTTTATTGAATAAAAGATATACATTGTAGGCGCAAAATGTAAATTTGAACAGAAATGCTTTCATTGCAGCTCTTCTGGGTTGGCATGTTTACAGCGACGCCCCTGGCGGCACCATAAAATAACTTCACGCGTTAAAATTTGTAATTATCTACTCCCAAGAATAAAAACAAAATCTGGAATGTTTTACAAGATACAGAAAAAAAAGAATTCTTATCTTATAAATTCAATACCCTGTAGTTAAAAATTTGAGCTATTGCGGTTGTATGTTCATATAAGGGTCCTTTCATGAAATCTTAGAATATCAGCATATCATCTAGGATCATCCTGTATATTATGTAATAACAGTTACCTGTATATAGACCAGGCGTGAAGATCCTCGCTAGCTCCTCCAGGAAACATTCTGGAATCTGGATTGGATGGGACCGAGTATTTTCGCTCCATCTCGAATCCCTGGGAGCCTCCCCCTTGAGAGGGAGTGCGACTCCGCACCATGCTGCAAAGTTGCTGCTATCTTATATCTGAAACAAAAGAATTTTCAGTCAATCGTAGAAACTTCCTCAGTCTTTCTGAAATGCATCCAAACGGTTCCTAGATTGATTCAAAGGCAAGATCTCTCAGTATTTAATTAAGAACTAGCACAGTCTTTGCATGCTAAGGCAATGCTATTTATTGTTGAAAATCGAACTACTGGAGAATGGTGCGTTTCTGACATATATAATTGAAACCTTTAAAATGACAAATGTCAGAGGAAGTTATTAAGTGAGTTTTGTAGTACTCTGCTTCATGCAGCAATTTGCGCAACATACATTTATAGTTCTGATTTAAATCCTAGAGATACTAGTAAAACAAGTAAATAGTTGGTTTACATACAGTGATTTTCAAAAAGGTCCAAGGATCAAGTTTCTAAGCCGAGATTCAGAGTAATAAAATCTATAGATAAGTGTGTCACCGCTGCCAAAGGTATGGTCATGCGCAGTCTTACTGCACAGCACCTCCCAAATGTTTAAAATGTGCTTCCGACCACATGCCACATTTAGGCCCCCTCACAGGACAAGAGGAGCGAAGGTGTACGAACTGTGGAGGGGCGCATCCCGCTAACAGTCCCACTTGCAGATTCACCCCAGGCGAAATCTGGAAGTCATAGCGCAAAGACGCAGCAAATCATACGCGGACGCAGCCGTCTCAACATCTTCGGCTGCTCCCTCTGTTCAATCCACTTTGAATATGCAGAATGTGGACCTAGCAACTGCGCTTAGGTCCCTTCAACAAATAATAGGTCCCCTGTTTAACGCCACTCAGGCATTGCATGCGATCTTTCCGCAGCCATTGAATGGCTAAGTACAATATACAACCTGCATTTATCAAAATTCTTTTTTGGAATTGTCTGCGCCTAAGGGATATTCCCAAAAAACGGGAATATCATCAAACTCTATTGGATGAGAGTATAGACGTAGCTCTGCTGCAGGAAACATTACTTAATCCGGGAGATTGTTTAGCTTTCTCGAATTATGATGTTATACGCGCTGACAGATTGAATGGTAGGGGTGGTGGCTTGGCGGGGCTCGTTAAACGTGGTATTGACTATCACAGAAGCACAAACGCCGAGATGCAAGGCATTAAAGCGGCGTCCGTGGTAGTAAATATGGCGGGATGCATTCCGTTGAAGATCACCACGGTGTATGTCAGGTGTGGTGCCAGGCTGCGAGAGGAGGACTTGGAAGTCCTTCTCAAGAATTAACTCTGCTTGTCGGGTTCGGCTTTACAACCATGTGATGCGAAACGGGTATCTTATTCACAGCACCGAAGAGCCGACACAAAATCCTTTCAATCACCTTCAGGAACCGGATGTTATAGACTTTGCAATATCAAGAAACTGTAGGTTGAGTATTGTTTCTAGGATCTTGTACTACATCTCTAGTGACCATCTACCTGTTGTTCTGGAGGTAGGTAATAGGCATTTCGTGGAGGAGGAAACTCGTCCAAGGAAAAGAGTTTCTCAAAGAGTTTCCCAGCGTTCCGGTCATACATGATGAGAACGGAATTAATGCTGCTCAATCGGAGTGGACAAGTTTCGTTTATCAAACTCTACAGCGTGCTGCTGTGCTTCCGGTGCAGCAACACGCATACCTTTTCTCCCTGCTGACATTCGTCGGAAAATTTCTGAAAAGACGGCTGCGATTAAGCAAGCAAAAAGGTCTTGTCATCCTGATGACATTCGTAGAGCGACGAATCTCGTCCATGAAGTGAGAAATGCACTCCATGAATTCCGCAATGAGCAGTGGAGCGGCTTTCTGGCGGGGATGCTTGAATCAAGTATTCCTCTCTGGAAAGTAGCAAAATCGCTCAGAAACGGAAGGCAAGAACAACTACCACAAATTCATGGTCCTGGAGGCATAGTTTTCAGGCCTGAGGATAAAGTGGAGGTTTTTGCTAGCGACATGGAAAGGCAGTTCTCTCCCAATTATGATCTGGACAATGACCTTGACGAGGAACGACAAATTGTCAGGAGATACTTCAGAGCTAATGGCGATACCAACATCGGTGCTAACAGAGGTGACTCTTTTTCAGAAGACTCTTCTACGGAAGACTCTTCAGATGAATTTCAGCCTAGCACATCAACGGAATCCTCTGAGATTCCGTTTTGCACACCAGCAGAGCTGCAAGTCCACATTAAGGACCTAAAGGTGCGTAAAGCACCTGGAGAGGATCAAATCACCAACAAAGCACTGAAGTTAATTTCGCTCAAGGCTTTGACTCATCTGGTGGCAATAATCAATGCAATGCTGAGAACTCATTACTTTCCTAAGGCGTGGAGGGTCGCTGAAGTCATCATGAACCCAAAGAAGGCAGGTTCGATATTCCCCCAGGATTACCGTCCCATTAGTCTGCTATCAGCTCCTTCTAAGCTCGCTGAAAAGGTGATTTATCGTCACCTTGAGAATTTTTCGTCAGATCACCATGTGATTCCTGACGTGCAATTCGGCTTTAGGCATGGTACAGAGCTACAGGCAGTTAGACTGGTGGATCATGTAACCAGGGGGTTTACCCAAAACAAAAGTACTGGTATCTTGCTTTTAGATGTATCAAAGGCATTTGATAAGGTGTGGCACATGGGCCTCTTGTATAAGCTCATCCAAAAAGGTTTTCCATTTTGGCTACTAAAGCTGTTGAAATCTTTGCTAGAAGTCAGTGCACTACACAGTCGAGCAAGTTGGCAAATATTCCAGGCCGTGCTTCGCACTGTGATCAAAATTAAATTGTAAATTCAGACCACCCAAAATTATTTCAGTATACAAAACCGATTAAAATTATTTTTTGGAGTTACAAAATAATTCGAGTAGTCAAAGCAATAATACTTAAGCTATTTCAAATGATTTACTTCTTTTCGTTGCTCTATTTCTTCATTCCTTCTTTCTCTTTTCCCCTTAAACATGTTTGGTATCTGGGTAGTCAGACCTGACAGACTAACAGACCGACGAGACTTTTAACTAAGAACAAAGGTCCACCGGACCGCTCTGACGAATAATGACGAATAGTAGTCAAATCTGTCAGTCCTGATTGTCCAGAAACCAGGCAATATCATAGTCAATGAGAAAGGAAAGAGAAGAGCGGGAGAGCAAAGAAAAACAGAAGTGTATCAGTTTAAGAGGAAACATCTAGGCCTTTTGACTTGGTACACGGATTAGTTTTGGTATAGAGTCAGCAGAGACTGAGGTCTGGCTGCCAAGTCAGGTGTTAAATATAGCTTTTAGTACCTCTCAAGAGACTCTTAAATGGCTATAATAGATAATAGGCGGTCAACAGAACAACGCAACATATGTGTCACTTAGGAATGTTATACTGTTCACAGGAAAAGTTTCTGCGTCGAATGTGGTCCGAGGCAAAAACGTCTGAAGCAGCAACTTGGTTGAAAACAAGATAGGAGAAACACAGAGATATTCATCATTTCTAACAATGTTAGTTCTGATTCATAACTGAGAATGTGAGAACCGATAACCTGCTTTACTCTTTGCGAGCACGATCTAACACATGCATCGATTCTGATGGAGCTTGGAGGGCGATATTATGCTATGTCAGATTATACACAAAGTGTAGGTTAACTGTCTCTGTATCCAGATTTATGATCCATTCACTATGCAGGCAATGTGCCTCTCAACAAACCTGCAAATAAGCTCCTTTTCCACAATCTAAATGCTGAAGTTCATCTTTATAATTAGCGGTGTCTGTTACTGGATTACATACGGATGTTGCTAATGCCATTAACAGTCCCTTTGACATGCAATTATATCCTCCAGCTGCGTTACAATCAGGCTGCTTATTGAATGCTCCAACCTTCCAGTGGTGTTCACTGTAAAGATTCACTGTGCATTGTCATAGCTTGGAGGCATTCGTGCAGCCCTGTTTAAGGTTAACCGACAGCGGAGGTTCTCAAACTTATTTCTCAAAACTGACACTCTTTGAGAATCAATTATTTCCTAGCGCCTCCCGAAATTGTTCAGGAAAATGTCCGTATCTGGGGGAGAGGGTTATCTGCGATATAGAATAGACTGGGGGGCGGGTCGCATTGGCTGTACCACCGCTTCTGAGGAGAGCGTGTTCCTCTGACAACTGAAGAGCAGGGAACATAACGGGTGTCGAACCGTGCGAGGACGGAGTATGGCTCCTATACAATCCATATAAAAATAACTATTTACGGATTATCATATATGTTATCTGAAGGCATGCTTTTGAAGTATTAAAAATAATACAGGGTGGCCCAATTTTGACCCACATATCAAAGTTGACTTTTTTAAATGGAAGGCCCCACTGTTTATTACATATTCGGATGGACCCCTTTAATAGAAGCAGATTCATATAACATATTTTTCGGTTTTGATAATTGGTTGCTGATCTATTGGGTATTTTATCTAGAAAAACATCAAAGCCTGCGTACCTGCTATCTTGACAGTTGATAAGCCAAATATTTTATATAACTCAATTTTAGCCTAATTCATCCATTTTCCCAATTTTTAGAATGAGCAATATGGGGTGGTAAAAAACGCTGAATCTTCTTTCTCGCAAAAAAATTAAATCGAATACCATGTTTATTTTTACACCATCGAATCCCCATATTTATAAGCTTTTTTGATATAAGGATCTTACCAGTTTAAACTAAGCGTTTCTACGTTAGAGCTATAAAGAAATCACATAATCCATGGAAACAAAAACCAAGTGAAGGATTATTTACAATCTGTCTACAAAATTAGGCTTCCATCAGAAAATCAAGTAATTCAATGCTTTTGTGTTTTAATTTATTATTACAGAATCATATTATAATACAAAATTATCAAATTTAATGCAAAAGCCTTGTTGTTCAGTGAGATCCATTTTAAAAATCCTAATAAATCGTGAACACGCTCAAGGGCACATGTACTCAACTCTACGTAGCTTTGACAACTCATAATAAAATGACGCCAACATCTGGAGGGAATATCAGTGACAGTTGAGCACCATAACAAAACAAACAGAATTGACAGCCGAGTGCTACGAGCGCCACATGGCGACCATTCCCAGAATTTTTTGATCAAGGTGGTAAAAAGTGGGGCATACTATTCAAAAAATCAACTTTTACATATGGCCCAAAATTGGGATACCCTGTATAATTATTAACATTTCAGAAATATGCCTTGAGATACCGTATAGGTATAATAATCTATTCATCGTTTTCTCTAAACAGTTTTTGTTTTGCATGTATTCTAAAAAGAGACTTGTATTAAGCCGTGAGGTTTGGAGGGGCAACAAAGACAAAAATTAGCCGTTAAGCCGCCCAGCAACCTCCACCCCCCCGCCCCAGCGCCCACAAGGGGTATTATCGCCCACTTGCTCATTCTCTTGATTCTTCAGTAGATCCTCGTGATTTATCCGGCGGATATAAGGTAATCCGAGGAGATCAAAGGAGCCCTTAGTTTCAAAAAAGTATTAGTCTAGGTCTTCAGATCACTCGGAAATTGATCCTTTGACTCCTAATCGACTTCCAATTAACTACCGTAAATGTAGTGTTATGTCTTACACCAGAAAGCTAGATATTATTGCATTTGACTACAGAATTGGCAATCATTCTCTGCTGAGAATACAAGAATGCAAGGACCTGGGTGTGATTTTTGATATGTCACTTAGCTTCAATCCTCATATTGAGTACCTTATTAATGCTGTTAACATATTATTAGGATTTGTAATACGTAACTCAAAGAAATTAAGTAATAAAGATGCCATGATTATGCTTTATAATTCATTCATACTGTCTAAATTAGAATATGGACGGCTAATATGGAATCCATGCTATGTTACAACTTGTGGCTCTCTGGAGAAGATTCAGCGGAAATTTCTGAAATTTCTTTCATTCAAAATTGACGGTACGTACCCACCCATTGGGGTCCCACAGGAAGACCTGTTACGTAAACACAAGTTTATCAGTCTTGATAACAGAAGAAAGATTCACTCGCTAATATTCCTGCATAAAGTAGTGCATAGCAGTTATGATTGTCCATCATTTCTAGCACAGATTAAATTTAATGCTCCAAAATTTGTTACTCGCAATACACTCACTTTTTACCTACCTACCCCACGAACTAACTTACTGTTGCACTCACCTTTGAACTCGATGTGTTTATGTTATAATAGTCTTCAGAGTACATTTGATTTGTTCAAGACAAGTATTTCGAATATTAAGAGAGTTTGCAGTGAAATGATTTAGTTTTTAGTTTTCGTTGTATTTTTATATGTTTTTTTTACTATTTCTATTGTTGTTTTGCCACCAGTAATTGGTTAACACTGTTGGTGGTGGATTTCAATAAATAAATAAATAAATAAATAATGACTTGTTTTAAAATCCTGATTCGGACTATTTTGCTTTTCTGTCTTTGAGCAAGATCGGAATATTGGATACGCCACTGACATCCTTCCTGGAATCCTTTACGTACCAGCTTAGGCCTACCGGATTTCAACCTACGAAAGCCTTTGTAATATTCAGCCAAGTCTATTAATTATATACAAAGCTAACGTGCCAGAAGTTTCAAAGATACTTTCCCGGAAAATCAGTCTGGTTTAAAGATACTTTGTTATCCTCCAAGTGCTTAACACTAGTTGGGATAGTTTGGGACTGGTCGACATCTGGATTTGACGTTTGTTTGAACTGAAAACAAATTGCCTAACAGACAATTTAACACATATTCTCCATTAGGTATTTAATGGCTGTCGTCGACATGTAGTTTATTGGCGGTTTTATAATCTGGGCGATAAGCACCTGAAAATTGCCGATAGGGTCATGAATGTTGCTTATTGGCAAGTGGACGGTTCACTTCAAGAAAAAACTACTTATGCGTTAGTTGTTGATTCGACGTAGGGAACATCGAATGAGACATTTGAAACAATGTACAGGGTTGTTTATTGAATACCTGAACATCCCGAAAAGTTTACCACTACGCGTTTTTTGATAAAAAGATTTCAAGAAAGCTTTCAGGATATCGAAAAAGAGAATTTCTCGATGGCTTCAAATATGATCTAGGCAATAACCTTAGAGGCCATTTGGAGGTCAAGTTTGTAAATTCAAATAGCATCCACTATTTTTGACAGAAAACTTATGTCGAGTTCGCATTCTTCATCAGAGTTGTATTTTTATAGATAAAGTCAAGTTTAGTGGTTCAATCAGTATTACCTAGTACCTAGTGTATTGTCTGAAAAATTACACGGGCGACCAGTGAAGTTGGCAACTACGATTTTTTTCTAGAAAAACGGTTCTGAGAAAAGTTTTAGAATGTCTGAAAAGCAATTCATCGATGACCTCAAATATGGCCTAAATGATGACCTCAGAGGTCATACATATGCTTTATTTCCAAAAGAGATACCACCAAAACAAATCTTCTCCAACTCGTATAAAAGTACTGGTACTCGTGCAGTTGGCATCAGCTCGGTATTTTGCTTGCATATAAAAATTCTTGATGCAGTTGTCTACAAATTGTAAGAACTTTCAGGAGATATTTCAGAGCGAATGGCGACAACAACATCAGTGCTAACATCCGTGCCTCCTTTCCAGAAGGTTCGTCTACGGAAGACTCTTAAGACGAATATCTGCATAGCACGTCAGCGGAATCATCTGAGATTCTGTTTTGCACACTAGCAGAGCTCCAAGGCCACATTAAGGACCTAAAGGTGCGTAAAGCTGATCAAATCACCAACAAGGCACTGAAGTTGCTTTCGCTCAAAGCTTTGACTTATATGGCGGCAATAATCAATGCAATGCTCAGAACTCAGTACTTTCTTAAGGCGTGGAAGATCGCTGAAGTCGTCGTGATCCCAAAGAAGGTACGTTCGATATTCCTCCAGGATTACCGTCCCATTAGCCTACTGTCAGCTCCTTCTAAGCACCTTGAGTATTTCTTGTCAGATCAGAATGTTATTCTTGACGTGCAATTCGGCTTTCGGTCTGAGCATAGTACGGAGCTACAGGCAGTTAGACTAGTGGAGCATGTAACCAAAAGTACTGGTGTCTTGCTTTTAGATGTATCAAAGGCATTTGACGATGTGAGGCACGTAGGACTCTTGTATAAGTTCATCCAAAAGGGCTTTCCATTTTGGCTACTAAAACTGTTAAAATCTTTTCTAGAAGGGAGGAAGTTTCCGAACAAAATTAACAATGTGTTGTTTACAACACTAAGCGCCGGTGTTCCTCAAGGTTCGGTCTCACGACTAATCCTTAATTCACTTTATATACATGACATCACTTGCCCCAGTAACTGTGAAGTCTATCTCTCTGCTGACGATACTGCACTGTTAGCCCAGTCTTGTTCTGGTAACCTGGTTCACGACAGGCTGCAGAGTGCGGTGGAGGAAGTATTGGAGTGGGCGGATGGGTGGTTGATCAAAATTAATAGTTTGAAAACGCAGGCAATCTATTGTACTAAAAAACGTCGAAATGCCCCATCAGAGATTTCAGTGAATGGGACTCGCATACCATGGGAGCAATCTGTCAGGTATCCTGGAGTCATCATTGACAAGGGATTGACCTGGCAGAAACATACTGATACCTTGATAACAAAATTCCAAATTACCTTTCGGCAGCTTTATCCTTTGTTGCACAGAAATGAAATATTAAGTTTGACCAACAAGATTCGGTTATATAAAATGGCCAAAGCACCCGCAGTCACCTACTCATGCGCGGTTTGGTGTTTTTTTCCAAGACAAACATGCAGAGACTGCAAGTCCTGCAAAACAATCACTTACTCCCCTTGGGATTATGTACAACTACAGGCGCAGCAGCGTTATAATCGAGCCAAATATCATAGCAACCCTCTGTTGCGTGATTCAGTAGACTACAGAGCAAGTTCGCAAACATTTCAGGCCGCGCCTTGCACTATGATCAAAATCAAATTGTGAATCAGACCAACCAAAATTATTTCAGTATAATACAAAACCGGTCAAAATCATTTTTTGGAGCTACAAAATTATTCGAGTGGTCAAAGCAATAATGCTTAAACTATTTCAGATGATTTACTTCTTTTTTTTGCTCTATTTCTTCATTCCTTTCTTTCCTTCTTTTCCTTTTCCCCTTAAACATGTTTGGTATCTGGGTAGCCAGTCCTGATAGACTAACAGACCGTGAGACTTAACTAAGAGCAAAGGTCCACCGGACCGCTCTGACGAACAATGACGTATGTTAGCATATCGGAAATATTGGCCTACTTTGTCGACGCTTAAATCGGCTGGTACAACTGCTCATTATGGCGGCTGAAGTAAGTTGCTATTTCATTGAAATGAAGAGAACTTCTTGTTATCTGTCAAGAGAGAGACTTTTGCGAGCCATTTTGAGTCTCCGGTTTATCTGAATCGCTTAGTTATTAATTGTTGGTATACTCATATGTGCGGATAGTATTAGAAAAATGATAGATTATATTGCTTGATGAGTCAGTCAAACCGATATGCTTACAGCTATTCACCATAAAAGCACTTCACCCCTGGCCATTTGACATCACCAAATCGAGAAACGTCCCGGAAATAAAGTTCGAAAAGATTCATCGTTTCCCTAGCTGTGTGATAAATTGCTCCGACCTACTGGAACCACATGTTTTGAAGATTAAATTGTTGGATTTAAGGAGCCCGAAAGTTTTGCACCATATCACGGTAGCGCTCGCCAGTAAGAGAATGACCTGCAGCGTCTTCAAAGAAGTACGGTCCATGGTCTCTAGGCTATAGCTCTTAGGCCCGTATCGTCAGTCGTCCTACAATTGTAGGGCGCCTTTATGGCCTCCTTGATTGTCATAGTTTTCTGCTTCTCTGTGTCAGAACTCTATTTTGAGGTTATGTCACAAACATCTATTTGCATCAAATTGTACTTGCTTTTGAGTTATATCATGTTTTATCAGCCTGAAATTTCCTACAATTTAAAAAGAAAACATATCTTCACAATAGGAGAGCGCTGATGTTGACACGGGACAAGTGTAATCTACAAATTTTTGAAGGAGAGGAAGGAGGATGACAATCAAGGAGGCCATAAACGCGCCCTACAATTGTAGGGACGACTGATGATACGGGCCTTAGGTTAACTGAATTTTGTAAGGCCCGAAATGCAAGCCTTCATTTAAAATGGTGCATAACGACGTGCGACGTATGCCCAGTTCTTGAGAACGATGTTTGGTAGACGTCTCAGGGCGCTCCACTACACTTTCACGAACTTTCTCGATATTTAGAACCCTGGCAAGTCTTTAACTTCATCTGTTTGTTCAAATTTCCGTACCAACTGACGAATGGTGTTGACACTGGGCACCTTGTCGTAGCTTCCGAATCGTTGCAACAATCGACTCGTTATTTAAAAACGTTATAACAATACGATGCGTTCTGGGATCGTGTAGCGCTCCATGATGAAATGGGCGCATGTGCTTTAAACAACTACTACGGCGCCACCTAGTACGTGTATCGAAAATGTCGCACAATTCAAATCAGCCAGTTATATATTGGCCAGCCTAAATAAGACACCCGGTGTATTTAGCTGTTGCAAACAAATATCGTCAGTACTAGCTACGCCTCTCCAAACAGCTTATCCCATGAGCCTCTTATAGACTTGAAGGACTGTAGGGATGCTCTAGTAAGCTTATTATCCAAGCTACACGGTCCCCTAACAAATGTAGCTAAAACATCGAGACCTGCTTAAGCGGATGACTAATATATTTGATTTGAGCACCGCTTTAAATGCTAATGCTGTTTGCCGAAATATACGGTGACATAGAAAAAGTAACACTTAGTAATAATAAATATATCACAAAGATTTTATAGGTATATGTTTCGATTAGGGCAAAAAACGGTAAGCTTTTTCGCCATATCTACAATGTGGTTTTTGTGATATCGTCTGTCCTTGCAAAAAAAGTAACTGAGCGATAGCTATGTTTTGTAGCTACAATTGACATTTTTAATCATCGTACAATATGTTGTGATGAGCTGTTTTAATCTGTTCATTATGCCTAGAGCGAAAAGACGAGAAACTGTTCAACAGCTCAGTGAGTTTGTTAGAGGGTGAATGTGTGGGGCTGGTTGGCCATTTTGAGAAATAGCCACCAGGGTGCACAGAATTCTGAATACGGTGACGGCTTGTTGTCAGGCATGGGACCAGGAAGGCCGTACATAAGGGATCAGAGACAGTAAGTCAAAACAGTTTATTTACGTATGTCTACATTTTATGCAAATTTGTTTTGCTATGAAACCTGTCCCTCATTATTAAAGTAATCGCAATAACTCTTACGCTTTTCGCTATAGTGGGTGAATTTCTGGCACGAGTTGAACTAAGTGATATTGATTATCCAGTTGTTCTCCAAGTTCCTGCAACGATACTTTCTGATCAAAATCTTCTATATCAACAGAATTGCTATACATATATGACTGAGAATGATTTCTTCTCAAATAATTTGGCAAATAACAACATGCTGAGACAATTATTTGGGCTTTAACTGAGGGGATAACGCAATAGGTCGTTGAAATATACCGAACTTAACTAATATTGCAAATGCATTTTCTACAACGTGCGCGACTTCCTGTTTGGCTGTAAGGTTTAATAAAATTTTCTGTCAGGGCAAAAGCTTTATTCCCAACAAATACGAAAGGTTGGACCTTTTGATTATTTGGTAACGGAGCAGGTTCTGGGATTTG